TGTCGAGCCACGATTTCTATCTTCTTGTCGTTCTAACTTTTCAAACCTGAAAAACCTGATCACCTAGATGATCAAGTTTTAGTTCTCATTCGATGCAACAACGCACTCGCAACATTCTTCAATATCCTAGTTACGAATCAAAGTAATGCCCTTTCACAATTGTCGAATCACGTTTCATATGTACTACAAATAAGAATAAAATTTATCGAAAGCTATACGTGTAACGTCATTTTGTTATAAATCTTCTAATAACGTGGGTCACACATTCGAAACTTTTATATCCCCTTCCACATCTTGAATATTCACGCGTGCGTCCAGAAGCTTGGCAGAGACTTGACCTCGATCTTCCATCAGATTAAGCTTAAACCGAATCGCGTGATCGTGCACACCAAGGACGAAGGGTAAAATTCAGTTCGACAAAATTCCTCCCCCGACTCGCAGGGGTTGAAATCACGGGGTGGTGGCGATGAATCGAATTAATATTACGGTATCTGACCGAGAGGAAAAGCGAAGGTGTCGCTTGTAATTACCGGATAGCCGATAATTAAAGCGCGCCAGGGCAGAGCACGTGGAATTTAAAAGTTAAATTGTGTTTCGCTCATGAATTATGCATTCGCGGCAGGAACTTGCTGATTGCGCGGAAACTTTGATCATTCTTCGTTTATACCGTATCGAAGAGGTCGTAGAAGAGATCGTTCGCATTCCTTTAATTGTTCGCCCATGTTTTAACCGAGATTTCTTGCTCGATTCGTCCCGTCAATTTTTCGTCGATTTGGTTTTCAATATCGATTCTACGATTGTAAAAGTATTGTTTTGGGGGAGGGAGGATAATAAGCATGTGTCGATTTCGAAATTTTATCAGAAAGCGGTCGAATGACGACGAATTCCCGTTATTTTAACAGGTTTTATCTTTTGGGAAGACAGGAGGAATAATCGATTAATTGATCAAACTTATCGATTACGACGATGTTCCAATGTTTACTTTTTTTCGGTGTCTTTTTCTTTTCCATTTCAAAGGGGATCGTTTTGAAACGAGTTCGACGATTATATTAAAGCTACTTTTTTTTGTACAGCTGCATTTTTAATTAAACCAAGTTGAGCGCAATATTTTCTCGCAATTTCGGAAAACTTCTTTGAAATCTGATCTCAAACGAAATCCTTTTAACGTCGAGCGTGAAATGGACAGAATCTAATTCTATATTTCGCATAAATAAATCATTCGACGTGAGAAAACTGTCAAATTTTTATGAAAATTCGCAAGCAATTTCAACATCCCACGAATCACGCGCACAATCAACACAAACATCCTCTAGTTCCTCTTCCTCGTAGGATTTCCACTCGTTTAATCGTGCCACTCCTTTAATTAAATATCCTCCAAGCAACTTATCGTCGAATGTGCCCTGTATATCGAACGAAGAGAAACGTTCTCCGTTTTAATTATAAAACGTTTGGCGCGTAAACGCGCCACGAGCCTCGTTTTTCATCGTGAAACCATTATTTTCGTTTCAATTGGGGTCGAAAACGAGCAATCGCGACTGGGATATCGCGTTAACTTGGACCAAGAAAACGTGGCCGAGTCTCGGGTCGGTTTCGAATTGAACAAAGGATCGGTTATTCGAATTTCGAAAGGGAGAAAGGAGTGGGGGGGCAAAGCTCGAATTATATTAAGACGAATTCCTCCACGGCCTCCGATGTTATTTTAAGCGTCGTTGAAAAGAAGTTATTACCTTCTTCGTCGAACTCGTTAAGTTCCGGGTTAAGCGGCCGGCTCGACCTTTCAACGCGAGTTCGCCCCCTTTGACGGTCCACCACGGTGGAAATAATGCGTTTGAGTCTTCTCGGTGGCTCTCGAGGAACGAGGCGGTTCCACCGACAGCGATTCGTTTAGCGCTATTATATCCTCGAGGAGAGGAATTTCACGATGATTTGTCGAGCATTGAAATCAATTGTCCGGATGAATTGTTCATTGATTTTCGGTGAACGGTTTTTCCAAGTTATTTCATCCGGCTATAAATTCCTTCTTTAACACGTCGAACAAGTTTTCCTTTTGAAAACCAAAGAAAAAAATTATATCCATTGAAATAATTATCGTTACTCCGCGAGTAGTAGTCATAATTTTTCGCAAGTGGAAAACTCCTCTTCGAAAATCTCTCGATTTAAAAAATTGAGAAAAATAAAAATTGAACAAAGAAATTTACGAATTTAGTGACGATTACACATTCATAAATTCATTGTCATTTTACCCTGATCGAACGAATGTAATTCCAAGCGCGATCCATCGTCTGTTATTTTTATTCTCAACAATCATTTGCACAAGCCTTTCAAAACATTTCTTCCTCTTATTAAACATTCTTTCATTATAAAAGAAATATGAAACAAGCCTATCTTGGGAAATGATTATAAGAATAATGATACTTTACGAGGCTTCTATACACTCTTTTAACAAAAATGATGAATAGATACCCCCGCCCTATATATATATATATACTCGTGTTCGCTCGCAACGGAGAAGAAGCAATCATTACACTACCCGTCAGAAGGACTACAAGGTAATCGATATTATCGAACAGCGCTGTCTATAAAGCAGGCGATATTGCGTACACGCATCACGAATCCTATTGTACAGGGAACGATGTCGCGAAATTGGCGACAACATCCCCCATCGACGAAGGCGCTTTCGTCAGTAGCGAGATGCAAATCGCGAAGTCGGTTATGAAATCAGAATTCATAAAGCGGGGAGGAAAAGAAGAAAGGAGAAAGAAGAAGAAGAAGAAGAAGAAAAAAAGGAGAAATGCATTCCATCCACGGCATTAAACTTTGACGACCGTGCAAAAAACGATTTACACTTCGAGTTTCGTCGTAACGGGTGAATCGAACGTGATTATCGATGCATCGCCAATTTACCTTCTTCATCGTAAATCTCACCTTCTTCATCGGCTTCGAAACGAGATTTTTCGCTACGCGATGTCACTTTTATAATGGGTGAATAATCAACGGACTCTCTCTCTCCACTCTTCTCCCCGTAATCGGGATGAAAATGTATTTTTAATAGGACGAATTAAATCTAACGGATATTTTAATTTCCAGGAGTGGATTTTTTTTTATATACACACGCGAGATCCAACCAGTCGTAGCGAATAGAAAATATATTTAATATTTTATACCACACGATCACGATAAAAATTTGTAATAAACTTTTTCAATGCCACGATAGAATAATTTATTATTATCGTAAAAACAATAAATACCTGTCGAAAACTCTCACTTTGCCAATTTAATTAAAATACACTTCAAATCAAAGATTGATCACCGATCGCCAATCGTATTCGATAATTTTGATCCATCATTTTGATCAATCGAGCTTGTACAAGAGAAAAAGAAAAAGGAAACGAAAAATTTCATCTTCCCTGAATCGAATGAATTCTGAAGAAATGCTCGCGAAAATGGCCACCGTCGATAATCACTCGTCTTCTCCCCGATGACGAAGGTAATATACGTGTTTTCCCGACCCGTATTAAAGGCGGATCGCCGGGAACGAAGGTAATTCGGTGTTGTATCGCGGAAGGCGGAAAAACGGGAGGCGGTTCCGCAAGAATTTCGAGGTCGTTAGATAGAGGATAGCAGTGGAAAGGGTAGGTATTCCTTCCTGTGGGTGGAACGACGAAAAATCGCCTTTACAGGGACACTTTTTCCACGGCCTTCCCTCTTCTCCTCTTTCCCGACATGCCACGGATCCACCGATACACCAAAGTGTAGCTTCGGCTAGTTTCTCCCTCCTCCCTTCTCCAAAAGGGAAGAGAGAGTGGGAGGACGACAAAATCGTTTCGACAAATGGAACGTCCACGCGATAGAGAAAATTGTACCGGCAATAATAAAGCGATACGACAGACGAAGGGGCCGAAGGGGATGAATTGAACTTGGAGCAAAACCAACCCCCTCCTCTCTTTCCTCTCTTTCCCTCCGCCTATCCACCGATATAACACACGATAAGTCCAAATATTACATTCGCTTGTTTATCCTTCCAGATGTACCGTTTAATCTGATTGTATTTTTATCGAGGAGGGGGTTGGTAACCGGAGAGTTATCCTCAGTTTTCCTCAGATCGGTGGGCCACGAATCTCTCGCAATATTTTTCTTCCCTCTCTCATTATCTGTGGTATACGATGCAATAGCATTTTCGATTTGTTAAATTTGATTTGAGACAGATGTTTAAAAGAAAAGATTTTCAAGATTTGCTACGATATGGATTGTCGTTGAAAATATATATTATTATTATTATTATTATATCGATGACGTGTTGTACGGTATTTTAATTCAAAATATTTCCGCGCGCATTTGCGTGACAAATTTCTTTAAATAATATTCCGGGGGGGTAATGTATTGTAACAATATATTCCGAAATTCATATGGATTTCTAACTGCGACTACGTTTGCGCAGACTACACAATACACATTCCACGATGTTGATAAATTCGTGACCCGGTAAGCGCGCCAATCCAAACTTTCTACCGCTGAATACTATTAAAACGAAAATTTGTGTTACATCAGCGTTTCAACTTTTATTCAACCATATATTCGCTCGAATAAAACGATGGCAAAATTTTGAATAATTCACGCCGAACTTCTTCTCTCACAAAAATATGCCGATTTATTAATTTAGATAATTTGTCTTAAATTTACGAAGCTGATAATGAATAAACAAGAAGCCTTATTATTTCACGAATTTCTTGTAATTTCCAAAAAAATTTCAGAAAACCAAGAATATAAGGGAATAAGATCGATGATTCCACGGGAAGATTTTGACGAGTTTCGCGAGAAGAATATTGTGGGGTAATTTGATCGAAACGGGGGCACACACCATCGATAGTTTGTTCCCCCCATCGATGGTTGTGGCCGCCAAGCGGCTTTCGACGGAATCAAAATATTTGTATTCATATCGGGTAGTGCGGCTCGAGGGTAAGTGGCTTTCTGTGTACGTAAAAGGAGGGTAAAGTACTCACGTTAGCGGTGTCGTCGAGTTTCCGCTTCCACGCATCGCTACGTTCGATTAGGGCGTTCCACTGCTCTGAAAGTTTGTTCACTTCCCGGCGAATGCTGCGCGTCAATTCGCGTGCCTGCTCCTCCGCGCTTCTGTAGCCCCTCGAATCGCCATCCAATTCTCTTCCGGCTGAAATATAAACGTCAAAACGTGAGCGCAATCGTGATATCCACGGGATTTGAATCGAGGTTAAATCGAGATCCTTTACGATCCGTGCAACACCCTCTTCCAAATTTCGTATATATAAAAGTTTTAATTTCGTGCGTAAATCAAATAGATTTCGTGGATTCTGTATAGAG